CAGTGTCCCTTGTTAGCCCCCTATGTGATAGCAATAAAGTGTGATAAAAAGTTTAAAAACTAAAGTGACATATAGAAAAAATTAAAAGACACACAACGTTTTTATAACCCCTTCATGACCGAAGCCTTTTTTCCGTTTTTTTGCACCCATATTATAATTCAAATTTTAGGCCTAAAAATTATTTAAAACCCCCAAACATTATATATTTTCTGAAAGCCATGACCCTGTAGAATAAAATGGTGGCAGTTGCAAACTTTTATGTTGCACTATATATTATCGCAACTTATTATCAAACCCCCAAATTTAGTGAAAAATGCACTTAAAGGAGAACTATGAGGTGAGTGATTTTCACTCACCTCATACCCTGTTTCCCCGAAAATAAGACCTACCCCAAAAGTAAGACCTAGCACTATTTTTCAAGATTCTTGTAATATAAGACCTACCCAAAAATAAGACCTAGTTTGGTGGTAGCATGGGAGGGGGAACTTGAAGAGCAGGAGAGATTGTATCAGCCTGCAGGGACATACTGTATTAAGTGGATGACAGGGGACTCCCTCCAGACAGCGCGGTGACAGGGAGCACTCCAGTACCATACTTCACCAACTGCTGTCCCCCTGAAGGCACTGCTTAATGTAATAGGTACTGTACTGTAATGTGTACCGGTAAATAGTACCGTACTTTACCACGCTGTCCACTGTCTGATGTCCCCATCGCTGCACCGCTGCCCCTGGTGGCAAAGGAAGCCGGCGCTGTAGAAAGCAAGGCTGCGGCAGCGGAGGGAGCAGAGCCGATATAACTCTAGAGCGCCAGTTACTGTGACAGGCGGAGTGATACCAGATAACTTTGGATTGTTGTACATGAATAACTTTAGATTGTTGTACATTTTGTTGCACTTTAAAAAAATAAATAAGACATCCCCTGAAAATAAGACCTAGTGTTGTTTTTGGGGGCAAAAAAAATATAAGACAGTGTCTTATTTTCGGGGAAACACGGTTGTTCTAGGCGACCTGTGACAATGAGACTGTCACAGGTCGGCTCAGTAGATTGGGAGGTGAGCGAACACATACCGGCGTTCGCTCACCTCTCAATCCTGTCACGGCTCTCTGCCGTGACAGGGGAGGAGCTGGATTTCCCCCTCCCCGCTCATATCCACCAGCGCTGACTGGTGAGCGGACGGGGCGGGTACAGCTGGCTCTGCCTCTAGATAGGCAGAGCCAGCTGTCAGTCATGCAGCTGGGTGGATCACCGCACAATTGTCGGGATCCGCTTCAGCTGCGGCGTCTCAGTATACCGCAAGCTACAGCTCGCGGTATACTGAACCCAGGGTGACTGGAGGACGCTAGTTTGTGTCCTCCCGTTACCCTAAGGAGAACTATGGGGAAAAGCCTTAACCCCATAGTTCCCCTTTAAGTTAAATTTAGTGCCCCAAAACACAATAAAATGTTGTTGTTTTTTAAATATAAAAAGATGAGGTTACAATGAGTGAATAGATACCTAACATGACCAGGTTAATAATTGTGTGCGTCTGTGAAACGGTGACAAAATTCAGTACCCCAAAAAGTCTGTAGACGACGCTTTAAAAGCACCTACAGGTTTTCAGTTTTCAGATATGCATAAATATTGGATCTAGAATTATTGCTCTTACTCTAGCTTGCAAGCCAATACCCAACATATATAGCGCGATCGTCGTTTTCATACGCAGGCGTATAAAGCCCTTATGTGATAACAGATTGGTAGTGACTCATTAAGGTGATACTGGGGATCCAAAAGACCCCTAGTGTCACCTTTCCACTCTAAATAAGCTATTGAAGTGCAGATCACACTTCAATAGCTTATTGCTGGGCTTCAGGAGCCGAGCAATGACAGCTCAGGGACCGGACGTGATGCAACATGTGTCGCTCCCGGTCCCATAGAACGGGGAGGAAATCAGTGAACGGACGATCACCGATCTCCTCCCCAGCTTCCCACCGACACCCAAGAAGCAGGCCACGGGCCCGTAGGAGGGGCAGTGGAGCCCGGGAAACATGGCAGGGGTGTTGGAGGGGCCGGGGGGTGTCCCGTTTACCGGCCCGGAGAAGCGATTTGGCGACACCTGTCGCCAGAATCACTTCTATTGTAAAGCCGACAGTCACAAATGTTGGAGCCAGAGATAAAAACTCACCATTCGTCACTGTTAACCCTAAAGTGGTGACCGGTAAAGCCTTTTAAATCGTTTCCTATGTGCAATTTCGGGTATTGTAGGTTTTTACCATTTCATGGGTGCATGCAATTTTAAGGCTGACATGTTTGGTATCTATCTACCCAAAAACTGGGTATATGTTCTAGGGGGAATTCATCAAAACTGGAGCAGACAGAGACTGGAGCAAGCAACCATGGCAACCAATAAGCATCTCTCTTCATTTGGAATTTGAAAATGAGAGAGAGAAGCTGATTTGTTGCAATGCAAAGCTGCTTCGGATTTTGTCTGCCCATTTTGATAAATTCCCCCCATTGTTTGTGTGCACTAAAATTAGTTTTAGTGTATTTTGTCCCCCCAAAAAATCAATTTGATAAACATGTCAGAGATCCCAACCTGAAAAAAAAGTAATTTTAGGGAGATGCCATTCTCATTTCAGGGAGGTGCCCGTTGTCGCTCCCCATCCGCTGGGGACATCAGTTGGGATGCCTGCATTTGTGCAACATAAAAAATTGCAATTAGCATTTTTTAATAATGTCAGAATATTGTATTGTTATAAGTAAATAATAATTAATTTAATTGATTATAAACGTATTTATTAGGGCAGTGCAATATTCTGATATTATTTATAACTGGCATTTTGCACTCAGTTTGTACACAGCTGCTTGAACTATAGGAATTGGGGTATTTTAGATAAGAATACAGACACTTTTCTGTGCAGATAGTTTCTTTTATTCTACACAGCCTCTGCTAGTAGGGTTGCCACCTGTCCAGGATTCACCCGGACAGTTCAGGTTTTGAATGCTGTGTTCGGGTTTCATGGCACAAGGAACCCGGACACAAGATGTCAGGCAGACAGGGGCAACCAAAATTAAGATAGGGGCTACTGGCCCCCCCACTAAAAATAGTCTCAACTGTGATATTTACATATTAAATGCGTGGTTCCTTTTACATATGAATAAGCCACAACTAGGGTTGCCACCTGCCCACGATTTACCCGCACAGTTCGGGTTTTGAATGCTGTGTCCGGGTTTCATGGCAGCTGAAACCCGGACACAGGATGTCAGGCAGACAGGGGGCAACCAAAATGAAGATAGGGGCTACTGGCCCCCCACCGAAAATAGTCTCAACTGTGATATTTACATATGAATGGGCGGGGCTATTTACATGTGAATAAGTCACCACTCATTCTCCCCCAAAAATGTTCGTGCTTCGCTCGAGTGTTCGGGTTTCGCATGAGGAAAAGGTGGCAACCCTATCTGCTAGCATATATAATTTTTTGGTGATTTTAGGTAGTTTTTTAGCCAAAAATTCTTATTTTACAATTGGGGTAAAAATTAACAAATTGCTCCAGATATGAGTTGATTAAGGTTCTTGTCAGTAAAAAATGGACTCCATTAGTGAAAAGTTCACGTTTTGTCAGTAAAAACAATAATAGTGGATTGGCAACTCTGCTGGTCACCCTTTAGAAGACAACGGTAAATATTTTCGGTGACAAGAAATAAACGCTGCACTGTGGTCTCCTTCAAAATGGCTCCCCGATGAGACGGAGCGTCGAGGCCATGCATGGCCCCGCCTCCTGCTTTCACTCTAGTTTCCCGGGAGGAAAAAGTTGTGTTACGTCATCATCCACGGCCCGTTTTCCCTGAGACATGTGGATGCCGGAGCATGGCCGATAACGGTAACATTGCCAATTCCGCTCCGGGTGAAGCAGCCAGGCCGGTAGAGTCGTCTACAGTTGAGTCCAGGCCGCAGAACAGAGCCCTGTCTTGCCTGTTGCTGCCGTCATTCTCGGAGGCTTGTAAGTTGGTGAGCGGCGCTTACTCATGCCTTGTGCTGAGGACACACCGCAGACCCCTGGCTCTGTCTCCCCGGTACCTGAACAAGAAGAGGAGCGGGATACAGGAGCACTTAAACGCTGAACTTCTCAAGTACAGCTCCAGGTGATTGCGTTTATCTTATAGGGGAGGATTAATTGTGCCATGGCCAGGGCTGTCATTAGGTTAACCACTTGCTGTCTGGAGCAATTACTTAACCACTTAATGACCGAGGTGTTAAACCCCTTTCCTGGCCAGGCCTTTGCTCGGTATTCAGCGCTGCGGAACTTTGCCATTTATTCCATCATGCAATGCTGTACTTAAATTAATTTTATACCAATGTTTGGGGACAGATGGAGCTTTCTTTTGGTGGTATTTTATCACCAAATTTTCGCTACTTTTTTTATTATATTATTAAAAGATAAAAAATCTTTTAGTAATATAATAAAAAAAAATAGCTAAAATTTTGTAACAAAAACTTTTGCCTACATTATGTTATAAAACATTTATTGGTACCCACATTTTGTGGGAAAATATAAAAGATAGGGTCACGTCAGGTAAATAGATACCAAACATGTCAAATTCGCAGAAAACTACCATACCTAAAATTGTCCATAGGCTACGCTTTAAAGGAGAACTATGGGGTTAGGGCTTTTTCCCATAGTTCTCTTAAGGGTAACGGGAGGACACAAACTAGCGTCCTCCCGTCACCCAAAGCTCAGTATACCGCGAGCTACAGCTCGCGGAATACTTAGACGCCACAGCTGAAGTGGATCCCGACAATTATGTTGGGATCCGCCCAGCTGCGTGAGTGACAGCTGGCTCTGCCTATCTAGAGGCAGAGCCAGCTGTACCCGCCCCCTACCCCGTCTGTTCTGCCAGTCAGTAAAAGGAGGATCGGAAGGGGGTATCCAGTCCCTCCCCTGTCATGGCTCTCTGCAGTGACAGGATCGAGAAGTGAGCGAGCGCCGGTATGTGTTCGCTCACTTCCCGATCTACTGAGCCGACCTGTGACAGTTTCATTGTCACAGGTCGACTAGAACTATGAGGATGAGTGAAAATCACTCACCTCATAGTTCACCTTTTAAAAGCTTTTACCGCTCATCAGTTTAGTGTTTATCAGTGATTAATGGCCCTAGACTTATTGCTCTCACTCCGACGTTTGCGGCATATGTGTGGCGTAATAGTTGTTTTTGCACGTAGGCACACCTGAAACTTATTTAGGTTCATATGTGCGGGGGACCTAATTTTATTTACTTTTTTTTGTATGTGACAATTTTGTTTTTTAACCTTTTTTTTTTTTTTAAACTTTATTGCTATCACATAAGTGGCTAACACAAGCCCCTTATATTTGTTCTCACAAGCCCCCTATGTGACAACAAATATACGACAGGTCCTATTTATGGAGCCATCAGGAGTCTCTTAAGACCCCTAATGTCACCTAGGGATCCCCAGAGAACCTGATGAACCAGAGATCTGTTTCATTGACTTCTTCACTGGCTATAGCAGCCAGAGAAATGACTGCTAAAGGCGGAAGTGATGTAATACACATCCATTCGAAATTCAAGCATCGGAGGAGAGATCAGTAATGGGGAAATGCTGATCTCTCCTCCATACCTAGTGGGGATGCACCGATACTAGTATTCGTACTCACTCAAATGCTCCGATGCCTGGCCCAATACTTACGGTATCAGGAAGCCGGCTGCTCGGCTTCTGATTGGCCGGGAAGCCGGCTCCATGCTCTCTGTGACGAGCTGGAGCTGGCTTCCCGGTCAATCAGAAAGCCCGGCGCTGTGTAATGATGCCGCACCCTGCTTTCTGATTGGTTGGGAAGCCGGCTTCATGCTCCCTCGTCACCTCATGATGAGGGAGCATGGAGCCGGCCTATCAGAAAAGCCGGGCGCTGCGTCATTACACAGTGCCCGGCTTCCTGATTGGCCAGAAAGCTGGCTCCATGCTTTCTCGTCACCTAGTGACGGCTTCCATGCTAATTGGGAAGCCGGGTGGCGAGTCTTTACCCGCTGCCCGGCTGATCAGGAAGCCAGGTGGCGAGTCATTACACGCCACCTGGCTTCCTGAATGGGACTTCCGTACTCGGTATTTGATATCGGCGAGTACCGAAAAAAAATATCAGTACCCATACTCGGTACTGAAATACCGGTATCGGTGCATCCCTAATTCCTAGTGTAAGGTACCACTATGCCCTAGAGCCTTTAGCAACTTGGGACGCTTTGGCCAACCCTTACCCACCACCCAGTTGCTTCCTAATGAGACGCCATTAAAACCTTTTGGGTGTTTTTAAGGTTTCTGTCCAGAGTGGTATTGAGCTTTAGGCCCCGTTCACATTGAGCGGTTCGCAAATCGCGCGACAAACGCGATATCGCGCAAATGCTTGCATTGAGCAAGCTAGAATCGCGGCTAAATCCGCTCCAAAAAGGGTCCTGCTGTAGCGACCCGCGACACCAGGACCATTTGCCCCATTGAGAAGCATTGGAGAGCGATATCGCGCGGTAAATTGCCGCGATATCGCGGGAATTACCGCATAATAAATCGCTCAATGTGAACGGGGCTTTAGATCTGCTGTCGTCTTTGCTCTGACCACTTGTAATTTTCATTTTGGTGCTCCTTATCTGAATTACATTAGGTGAATTTCTGAAGAGCCCCCCCATAATCGTTCCCTTTTATGAGTAAAGCATATTCAAAGATATTCAACTAGACTGCACAATCTTGAAGAGATTTACTCTTTCATATGTTTAGATCAACTATCTATGTCCGGATGCAGTAAAGCTTAACTGGTAAATAATTCTGATAATCATTCCCATATTAAGCTTTAACTCTGAAATATTAACTCCAGCTAGACGCATTTAAAGGAGAACTTTGGGGTAAGTGTTTCCCCCCATAGTTCTCCTAAGGGTCACGCAAGGAAATAAACTAGCATTCTTCCGTGACCCAAATCTCAGTATTTAGCGAGGTACAGTATACAGGTATACTGAGACCGCCGCAGCCGGGACGGATCCTGACATTACTGTCGAGATCCACCCGGCTGCCGAGATCCACCCGGCTGCGTGAGTGCAAGCGGGCTCTGCCTATCTAGAGGCAGATCCAGTTGTACACGCCCCCTCCCCCGTTCGTTCTGCCTGTCAGCGCTGGAGGATCGGAGTGGGGGGCATCCCTACAGGGAGCCGTGACTGGCTGTCAGGGCTCGCTGCAGGGAGATGTTTGAGAAGTGAGCGAGCTACAGTATGCGTTCGCTCACTTTCCGATCTATTGAGCCGACGTGTGACAGTTTAATTGTCACATGTCGGCTCGAACTATGAGGATGAGTGATTTTCACTTGCCTCATAGTACTCCTTTTTTTTAAAAAAAAAAAAAGCATATTCAAACACCTGACAAAAGGTTTGTAATATGATGTAGGGCTGCAGCTAATCATTATTTTCATAATCAATAAAAAAAAAAAATTTATACCGTAATTTATTTAAAATACACAAACGTGGCTTTACAGACATAAAACTTACTTTAGAATAAAACGGTATGCACAGTTTTTGAAATTGCGCTGCCCTGGAATGCAGGGCATTGCATTACTGTACATTCTAGTGCGGGTGATCACTCAGCAGACGGTAGGGGCATTTGGGATCGATTGAAATTTATGGCAACGCACCTCCTCCATCAAAATATGTCAGGCAGAAACTGAAAATGAACACACACTCACACACACACTTAATCGATTAGGTGTTGCAGCCCTACTATGATGCACATACTCACTACCCTTTCATATGGCTGTGTAGAACAAGGTTGGAGAGATACTTTTCATGACTTTCAGTCCTGCACTGCCATCTTACCTCCTCTGTTTTTTAGATGACTGAACCACTTTGTCACCTACCCTGAGCTTTCTCTGTCTTGTCAGCCAGCTCAGTTTTCTCCCCTGTTCCATTCCTGAGCTTAAAGGAGTAGGCCCTCCTGCTCCAAGCCTGTTTTCAACATTCATCTAGCACATATAGTAAAATGATACTGCATATATTTAAATAACTATGTAATGAGTTTTGAAGGCCTATGTGAGTAAAATAAAGGTCATTATATTATACTTGCTTGGAGTTGTTCACTTGTTTAGTGTTGACAACTGTCATTCTTACCTTAATTCTTGATTGACAATTCTATTTATTTCCCTTAAAGATTGGAAGGTGTTCCAGTCGCCTATGATAATGTAAAAATAGTTGGCGAGTTTGGAGACATACAAGATGATGTTGGATATATTCACCTCAATATTCAAGCTGACTTTGTCATCTTCCAGCCACAATCTGGAGAGAAACTTGTGGTAAGCAGCAGCATATTTTACATCTTATATCTCCAATAAGGTTTTGTGTGTGGGGGTTTTTTTTTCCCCCAGCATTAGATCTCTACTCATTTATGCATACAAAAAAATGCCCAACAAATGCTATTACTTAAGAATAACTTTAGTTTTGAGGTGCCAAGGCTTAGTGTGGCCATGGAGCCCCAAACCTGGTAGACTCAGCTAATAGGCCTCATCTTCATCTCTATCGCAGATCTCTGGTATGGCTCCCACCATCCCACAATATACTGCAGACAGGAAGCTCCTGGTTACAATTAGGAAGATGTACTTCCAACTAAAGGGATCTACAGGTACCTTTTAGGTGCCTTCTCTTAAAGGCTGGTCTTTGTCAGGCTGGAAATATTGTTCAATGTCTTGTACCTTTTTACTGGTGGACAAAACTTACCATCCCGTGCTAGTCTTGTAGTGACAAGTGGCTCTGCAAAACATGGTGGGAGATGGGGTAGCGGGGGGCATGCATGTGTCAGAGCCCATGGAAGCCAACAATCTGCTTTCCACATGTAAACAGACTCCATTTACAGGGCCCTGCTGCTGCAGACCTATGGCAAATGGGTTGAAATGGTTGAATCCGTAACAATGCATTAAAAGGAACCTGGCAGCATTCTAGGATAGGGGATTTGCCATTGCGCTCTATAGGTTGAACTGGATGGACTTGTGTCTGTTTCTTATGGTGTCTGATCTTAGGTTATTATTTGTATCTTTTCTCTAAGGATTGGAAACCATTATGTGAATAACCAGTGTGTTCCAGGTCAATAACTGATTAGACAGTGAAACAAGGATTAGCATGACATCCCCAGACCTTGCACCTTTAAAAACAAGTGATCAATGGCAGTTATCATAGTTCTGTCCTAATAACTTGAAATTAACTTTCAATTTAAATTCGCTTAGGGCATTCTAGTGAATCACAAGAAAAGGTGTGCAAAGTCTTACAGTTTATGTCCTTTAGAAATCAGCTATAGCTTGTGTTTTGCCAGCAGTATGTAGATTGGGACCCACACTCTCTGTGGTGAGGCATTTATTTCTTTGCAGTGGTCTAATACACCCTGTACTGATTTAAGAGCCCGAGCTCTCCAATCAACATGAACATGAGCTTTTTTTTATTACAGAGCTATAGATCTGACTCAGTAAGGGTGTGTGTAGAACCTCTGAAATGAGACAGCTGTTTCCACACAGAGCTTCTGGCAGGGCATGGACTTTTCTACTTGGGCTGTGTCTTTTTTTTTTCTTTAAAGCACCTGGCATGTATTTAGCTGTAACCAGAAGGTCCAGTTGGGTTCTATGGTACCTTTTTGTCACGAATAAGCATTTTGTTTATAATATATTTTGCTTTCTTTTTTATTTAGGGTGTTGTCAATAAAGTGGCTCCGAGTCATATTGGTTGTCTGGTGCATGGCTGCTTCAATGCCTCTATACCAAGGCCCTTTAAGATGCCAGTTGAAGCTTGGCAGCATGTAGGAGTGAATGTCGGAGATCACATAGAGTTTGAAGTTTTTCGATTAGATTCGGATGCCGTGGGTGTCTTTTGCATCCGTGGAAGGATTGACAAGAAGTAAGTTGTGTGTAACTGTTGCCAGTCTAGCTGCAGAGAAAAAAACGAATATTTTACATTCTTGCAGCATTTGTTTTTTTCCATAAATTATTGTATTCACTTTCAATCTGCCTTTAAACTTGCTAGAAGATTTGACTACTCCAAGAAGAGTAAGTTGCCTAGCATAGTCCCCCTCCCTCCTTGCACGTCATGGTCCGTATCCTTTATGGGAGGCCAGTCTCTATGCTGCTCCAGCTTCTCCATTCCTCCCCTCCCTACCTTTTGGTAGTAGCCGGGAGAGGAGTCAAAGGCAATAATCTAGAGCAGGGGTGGCAAACTCAAATTCATCGAGGGCCGCATCAGCAGTATGGTTACCCTCAAAGGGCCAGTTGTATAGGACTATGCATCTACTCACATGTGCCCATCTCTGCACCTCTGGATGATGACTATACATCCTTGTCACACGTTTATATTTGTCACAGCACACCACAATATTTACAGCAAAAAGTCCTTTAATGACAAATTGCCATTCAGTACAAGCGCTTTTGGGGTCTATGAAGTACCCCTTCATCAGGCTCATTCTGAGCCTGATGAAGGGGTACTTCTGAGACCCCGATAGCGCTTGTACTGAATGGCAATTTGTCATTAGAGGTCAGCAATGTGACGCGCAGTGCAGAGGTCAGCAATGTGACGCGCAGTGCAGAGGTCAGCAATGTGACGCGCAGTGCAGAGGTCAGCAATGTGACGCGCAGTGCAGAGGTCAGCAATGTGACGCGCAGTGCAGAGGTCAGCAATGTGACGCGCAGTGCAGAGGTCAGCAATGTGACGCGCAGTGCAGAGGTCAGCAATGTGACGCGCAGTGCAGAGGTCAGCAATGTGACGCGCAGTGCAGAGGTCAGCAATGTGACGCGCAGTGCAGAGGTCAGCAATGTGACGCGCAGTGCAGAGGTCAGCAATGTGACGCGCAGTGCAGAGGTCAGCAATGTGACGCGCAGTGCAGAGGTCAGCAATGTGACGCGCAGTGCAGAGGTCAGCAATGTGACGCGCAGTGCAGAGGTCAGCAATGTGACGCGCAGTGCAGAGGTCAGCAATGTGACGCGCAGTGCAGAGGTCAGCAATGTGACGCGCAGTGCAGAGGTCAGCAATGTGACG